CTGCTAAGCGGGGGCCGCACTGCACAATCTGTTTTAAAACTCCCTCTAAATCTAGCCCAGGAAGAATCGCCGATCTGCAACTTTAGCAAAAATAGTGCACGAGGTATAATGCTACGACAATGCAAACTTTTAGTATGGGACGAAAGTACAATGTCGCATAAAAAAGCTGTAGAAGCACTAAATCGAACGCTCCAGGATTTGCGCAGCAATACCGATGTAATGGGAGGAATGGTGGTTTTACTGGCTGGTGACTTTCGTCAAACTTTACCTGTCATTCAAAAGGGCACACCTGCAGATGAAATTAAAGCATGCCTCAAGTCGTCTATTTTATGGAACAAGGTGACAAAATTCAGTTTAACTACGAATATGAGAGTGCATTTGTATAATGATATCAATGCTGGAAACTATGCTGACACACTATTAAAAATTGGCGATGGGCGGTTGGAAACGGATGCTGAGGGCTGCGTTAAATTGACGAGAGATTTTTGTAATTTAGTACAGAGTCATTCCGAATTAATTGCGAGCGTTTATTCAGATTTAACGAACAACATGCATAGACTAGACAAATGGTTATGTGAAAGGACGATTCTTGCACCAAAAAATGAGAGCGTTAACAAAATAAATTCAGATATATTAAGCGAAGTAGCAGGAGAAATAACAGAGTATTTGTTAGTAGACACAGTTATGGACACAGAACAGAGCACTTCATATCCCGCAGAGTTTTTGAATTCTCTAGAATTGTCAGGTGTGCCTTCACATAAGCTTCAATTAAAATTAGGCGTCCCAGTTTGCTAATGCGAAATTTAGATGCTCCTCGGTTATGTAACGGGACAAAGCTGCATGTGACACATCTTGGACGGAATATAATCGGTACTACAATTTTGACAGGCGTAGGAAAAGGTGAAAATGTTATTATACCACGGATCCCTATAATTCCCACAGATCTTCCTTTTCAATTCAAAAGGTTGCAGTTCCCTACTAAGCTCAGTTTTGCAATGACAATTAATAAAGCGCAAGGGCAAACGTTACAACGGGGGTCAACTTAGAAAAACCGTGCTTCTCTCATGGTCAGCTGTATGTAGCATGTTCGCGTGTGTCAAATGCCCAGAATCTCCACATTCTTTCCCTGAATGGAAAAACATATAAATTTGTGTCCAGTAGCGTCTTAAAATAGTGTTCAGTTAGTTTTTTTTTCCAAAATTCCCACAATCTAATCAGAATTCCCACAGGTCTTCCCTTTCAATTCAAAATTTCCTATTTAGCTCAGTTTCTTTTCAATTCCAAATGCTGCACCTCTGACGGACCTATTAAGCTCAGTTTCCTTTCAACTCAAAAGGCTGCATCTCTGACGGATCTTTTATTTGGCTCAGTTTCCTTTCAATTCAGAAAACTGCATCTCTGACGAATCAATTTAGCTCAGTTTCTTTTCAAAAGTCTGCATCCCTGACGGACAATTATGCTCAGTTTCCTTTAATTAAAAAAATTTCCCATTTCCATTTGGAATAAACAGGCTATTTTCATGCTTTCCTATACGCTGCGTTTCAAAACATTTAAATAGGCTGACGAATCAATTTTGCTCAGTTTCCTTTTAATGGCTGCATCTCTGACAAATCTATAAAACTCAGTTTTCTTTCAATTCAAAAAGCAATGGATAGTTCATTTCCCAGTGACCATGTGGGCGAAGCCTCGGGTAACAGCTAGTAATTTATAATTTAAATTTAAGTTTAATTTCAAGTTAAGTTTTAGTATCTAATGGTAACCAGTGAGTGTTGCCAGTGATGACCTATGGAACCGAGACGTGGTCCTTCACTGCCGGCCGTACGAGGAGTCGCTCAGCGAGCTACGGAGAGGGCTATGCTCGGGGTTTCTCTGCGTGATAAACTTAGAAATGAGGATATCCGCAGTAGAACCTGAGTGATCGACAAAGCCCAACGGATTAGTAAGCTGAAGTGGCAATGGGCTGGCCATATAGCTCGAAGAACCGACAACCGTTGGGAAAAAAGGTTCTCGAATGGCAGCCTCGTACCGGTAGGCGAAGTGTAGGGCGGCCTCTCACTAGTTGGAGTGACGACCTGGTAAGACATACATGAAGTCGATGGATGCAGGTAGCTCAGGACCGTGCTTTGTGGCATTCCTTGGGGGATGCCTATGTTCAGCAGTGGACTTGTGAAGGGCTGTCATGATGATGATGATGTTGATCTAATGGTAATTTGTAATTTTAATAAATGTAACGGAGTAAGCGGAAATGACAAAGGACCGGCCATATAGCTCGAAGAAGCAACAATCGTGGCAGCCCCACTAGCAGTAAACGGTAAGGGAAATGTAGGACTCCCCCCACTAGATGGAGTGATGACCTGGTAAGATTCGGCAAGTGGCTCAGGAACTTACTTTTTTATTCCTAATGATGATGATGATGATGACTTAAAAGGTTTTTATACACTTACTGACTACCGGAAACCGATTATATTTTTTTATTATTATGATAATACAATCGTAGTTTTTTCTGTATCGTGGATGCTTATTACTGCAGCACTACCGATTCGTTGAGATTAAAGAGGCTCATTATACAGTATTAAAATATAACACGAATGTAACTGAAACTGTTTAGGTGTTAATTATGTAATTATCCATTGTATTAAATTGATTTGGAGCTTAGGTGTGGAATGTGGAATACACTTACGCTCGCAATGTACTAAAATAAATCACAATAGATTATTTCGCAATTATAATGCAGCCACAAGGAAAGCAGAGGTTTTTATAATCAATTTTAATTTTGTAAAATTTTATATCTCTAAAAACTTTTTAAACAAATTAAAAAAAACACAATAATTCGCATAAACATTAATATACACTCAGGGTTTGCGTTATGAGCTAAATGTGTTCATGATTTTAAAACGATTAGAAACGAAGAAAAAATTATTAGATTGTATACTCTTTGATGGATTTCAATATAATTTTGAAGACTAGTTCAACGTTTAACCATAGATGTAGGTATCTATTAAAATATATTATGTTTGTGTATTTTTGACTCAGAACTGTAACTACTTTAGTTACGGTTCTGAGATTATTAACTCCTCAGATTGATTCAGATTATTGATTGATTGATTATTAAATAATTATTGATTGATTGATTATTAAACATTGTAACATCCCTTGCCCTTTTGTCCATTTCGCTATATAAATGTAGGTTTAATATGTAATCTATGAATGTTCATGCTTGTGTCAAAGAGAAAATAATCACTACGTTTAAGGTTTGGTTTAGCTTGTGTTGAGGTATTTTAATAGCTCTTGACAATGTCATAATCACAGAGTACAATTTGTCATAATTTTCTTACTCTAGCACCGTCTTTTGATGCCTTTGTTATATAAATTAAGAGCAGAATTATTAAAATGCCGTAAGTATTCATATTTTAAAAAACATGTAATTTAATATTACTATGTGTGCGCATTTAAGAGGTGAGAGTAAGTCAGCTCAAATTCTAATTTCGCCCCCACTTCCCCGCGCGTCGTATGCTATGTACCGACATGTTTGTAATCACTAATACTCTAAGTAGATAGGTCGTTAGATACTTATTTCATTATGTTTATCATATATATGCCTGTTTCTTAACGCCAACCCAGTCGCTTCTTATTTTTATAACGGTTATTTCCCATTTTAATTTTACGTCTTCCTGTTGCGTAATGTGTTTTCTGATCGTAAGCGACAGAACTTCTCCCTTCAAAAGCCGGAGCAATACTAACGGAGCGACAGGAACCAAGCTTACGCGCCGATAGTTTAGGTAATTTCTTTTTTACAGTGAAAATAATGATATTTTAAAAAAAGTAAATAACATAAACACTGCTTTATGGTTAGTTCAGTTAGTATGCAAAGTTTCATGATCTTATTTAAAGTATTTTATGAATAACAGCGGTTTATTGTTCAGTTTGGAGGTAACTTTGGATTTTTTTTCTATCGAGAAAATTTTACGGAATCGTGTTTTCGTCTAACATAAACCTTAACATTAATCCTCAACTTTACCATATATTTATTTCAAAATTAATGCTGCAATACTTTCGGCATAACGGGGGATCTTGCTAAGCCATTTGAGGTTATATCTCCCCTTAAGATGTACTTTTTCAGTAGTCCAATACAAGTATTAAACAAGATTTGTTAACAATTTAAACTCTGTTCAGTTCATATTTATTTTAAAAAAGCGCTCTGCCCCGGCTTCGCAAGGTGATTTCTGGATCTCGACAACAGCTCTACCTACCGAGTTTTGGACCATCCATGGACCTACTAAAACACACACAGAAAATTCCATCAGAATCGCTCGAAACAGTTTCGAGTTTTAGCGAGATTAATGGTCAGCATTATGTATATGTATGTATGTATGTATGTATATAGAGATTTTTATGTAAGGTATAGTTACTCTACAGGAGGATACTATCCGTTAATTTACTTGTTTTATGGTAATTAATCGCATCAGGCGTAACTTTCCTATATTTATTATATTAAAAATCACTGAAAAAAGTTATTCCTATCTAAAAGGCCGGCAACGCACCTGCAATTCCTCTGGTGTTGCAGATGTTCATGGGCGGTGTTGATCACTCTTCTCTTTCATTTCCCTGTGTCGCGTGTCGCCTCTTACGACACTCTTGGGATGGACGATATTGGGTAGTGATTTTCCTTACGTCGCCACTACACTGCGCTTTATATGCCGCTGTGCTTAAATAACATACCAGATGTATATATACCAGATATATATATCCAGACCGACAACCACACTATGAGCCGTTTGGTACATCAATCACCAGTCAGCGTACCAAGATTCGTGATTCCAGTATATTATAATAATAGAAGTATTCCTAGTAAAGAATAATAAATAGAACGACAAATATGAGGCCAATTTTGAACAGTGGAGAAAAAAATATTGTCGGAGCAAGAGGAAATAATTATTTCATTTAAAGTTTCTCAACAAAATTTCTTTTTGTGTTGCCTCGTATACAGTCCTGCGGTTAAAATGTCGCTCGCATTTGACCTTCGACTCGGAACGTGCCAATCTCATTCGCAGCTGACTTTGAAACAAACACGTTTATCAAGTGAATTGCAACAAATGTAGGCGTAAATAGGCTCATTGTGATCACTTAAGTTACCTACTCGCTTGGCGATTGACACTGACAGCAGTTTATCACTAAAGTATCTTTTATCCACAGAGCATACATATTTATGTTATTACTCTAAGCTTTTATCACAACTTAGGTAAAAACAAACCTAATATTACATATTATATTAATGCCAATGCCATTTACAATCTGTTGCTAAACAAGTCATTTCGCATTAAAAGTGATAGTTTGCATACGTAATAGTTGAGAGACACCTCACATTTGCGGAAGATATTGTTGCATTTTTAAATATATAATTATTTTAACGAGATTCGAGTAAAACTATATGTTAAAAGGTATTATTACGAAGATTTTTGTGACTGTTTGTTTGATTAGTCACATGGGAAGAAAATTCGAATGCTGGAAGAGTTTTTAACTTTAAATTTGGTTTTTCTTTTCAGCTTGTGTGTGATGTCTTACATATAGGTATGTTCTTTGTCGGTACAAATCCACAGCTGGATGTAGGGCCTTATGTAATCATAATATAAATTAATGGAAATGATATGTATAGAAGTAAAGTGTAAACGAACTTATGGTCCACTTGATGGTAAACTACATTCCATGGACACCAGCAGTCAGCTTCAACCAAGGAGAGCTGCAGATATGTTATAACTCCTGAGGTCTAAGATGGAATGCCTCACAGCCTGTATTATACTGGCTCTCTATACGCTTCAGACCGGAATACAGCTGTATTAGATCTGTAATTTGGATGGATTCAGGATGTATTCCTTCCCCGTCTTGCATATTATGGTAAATCGGAACTCAAAATTGCAACTTACAATTTTAATCGATAATAGTGTGGATCAAACTCGGTTTAATCATTTACTTAAACTTTAGGGCGAACACTTATCTGCCCTACAGTCACGCTGCGACATATTATGGCTGCGGCATGAATTATTTGGCTTAACCGGGGAAGTAACACGTTCGTACAGAATACAACGTGTGCATAGTACAGTGTCTCGTATGGTGAGTGACGAAAATCGGAGGCTGTTTTTACTAATAACGAGGCATTTCATCTCAGTTCACTTAGGTGACAACATGCCTGTATTTTGATTCTCAATCGAGTGTAGATGTTGATGTCTATCGGCCACAGCATTCATTTACCATCAAGTAGTTTATGTGCTTGCTGGTAACCCTTACTTCCATAAAAAAATCCCCAGAGCGACCACAGCACAGCATAAGTATATAAATAATCATATTGTGTTTTTATTAATACAGAGAAATTGATTCCAAATGGACAAAGACAGGAGACTGGAAAGCTCGCTACATAAAATTGTACTCTACACCGAAAATTTCTTCGTAAGTACTTTTCAAATAATTATACAACTTTGTAAAAAGAAATATTGTTATAAGTATAAAATTACAAACAACCTTACAATCAAAAATCAGATGGTAATTGAAACAATAAAGGCTGCAGATATCAGATAGATAGATAACACTTTTTTGCATGCCAAAAAAGAATATAAATATTGACAAAAAAAAGAGAGACAAAAGTGTGGTACAATGGCAGTCTTATCGCTAAGAGCGGTATCTCTTATGCCAGCTGTACACGCTCGTCGAGACACCACGAGACAGGCATAGAGGTGAGCGTTATTTAACATTGTTCTTAAAAACTTTTTGCGTTTTTTTTTTAAATATTATAACATGTATAGTTTTCTTTGTGAATAAACATTTAAAGTGTAAATAAATATTTAGTGTACATAAATAGACATATAATTAGTGTAAATAAATAATTAATATCTTTTTGTATAAAGATAATTTTTGTGTATTATGTGGATCATAAAAATTATGTGATGTCATGGACAATAATACTTAGGTACTTACATATTTTGTGACTGTATAAAATTGTACTAATATTGACAATGTCGCGCACATATTATAATACCTATAAACTGTTATATATTCGTAATCATAACATAACACAGTTAAACTAATATTATAATACCTATAACCTGTTAATGTTTTCGTAATCGTATAACGCAAACGCAAAACTAACCTACGCTATACTGTATTATACAGATATATGTAGCGTTGCCAGGCATCCGGATAAAGCCGTATAAATAAATAGCCGTATAATAAATATTCACAGACACGAGACAATAACATTCGTCAATCATCCCTTGCATTTATCTAAAATTCTGTTAGAAAGTAGAAGCACAGTCAACTGGTCAAGGTCGCAATTTCTTTAAAAAACATTTTCATAATGAACTTTAAGTCTTCCCAATTGCATGTAAATTCACATGGACATTTGTATTTAAAAAAAAATGCTCAGATTACTATAATACCGTCTCTTTTTATCTTGCGTGTAAGCCATATCTACCCCGAAGGGACTCTTTACTCTCGTTGTGCGAGTCGTATATCGTGTTATGTACCTATAATCATCTTAATAAAAATCTGTTCAAAACGAAACGCTTACGCGAGCGCTAGTCGTTGTTGTGTCAACTGCGTACGTAAAATAATCGTTACATTTTTGTCCACGAAACTGGGTATACGATTATCAGGCTCGTAAGCAGTTTCTGAAACCGATTACGTTAAATATCGCTCACCTCTAGGCCTGTCTCGTGGTGTCTCGACGAGCGTGTACAACCGGCATTACAGACAACCTTTAGATGCACACGATTGCAATAAAACAATAGAAACATATTTGTGGTTTGGCGACAATAATAACATTATTTTTATTATAAACTATAAAATAGAAATACAGATTGCATAATATAGAATAGTTCACAAGTACATAGATATTATACACACATATTTCTTTGCATAACTGAGGTTCAAAATTTAGTGCTGCACACCCACAGTATGTTATTACTCTCTTGTTCTTTCGGACTGGGACACAACACTGGATGCACTGCTACTAGGTGGTAGGACGATTTTTTCCTAGGAGTCCGTGTGGATTGGTACCACCTTTTACCTCCCGCCAAAGAGCGAAGCCGGCACTGCTAAATAAATAAGTTCGTTGAAATAATACTACTATTTTGTCAGCGAGATTAATGACCTACGTCTGGCAGACAATGAAACTATGGTCAGTTTTGATGTGCAGTCATTGTTTACATGCTTACCTGTTGAAGACTGCATCTCAATTGTAACTAGAAGGCTGGAAGAAAACAACATGCCTGTAGAATATGCAATATTACTCAGACACTGCCTTACATCTGGCTACCTTTTGTGGAAGGAGGAGTTCTACAAGCAAGTAGATGGTGTGGCGATGGGCTCACCTGTATCTCCCATTGTCGCCGACATATTCATGGAAAACTTTGAGGAGAAAGCCCTGCTTACTTCTCCCATAAATCCAAGATTCTACAAGCGGTACGTAGACGATACTTTCACAATTCTACCTTTAGATAAAGTAACTGCATTTTTAGACCATCTTAACTCTATAAATTCTAAAATTCAGTTCACAATGGAGTTAGAGGCAAACAATTCCTTAGCTTTTCTAGATGTGTTAGTAATTCGGAATCCTGATAACACCTTGAGCCATACTGTGTATAGAAAAAAGACCCATACAGATAGATATTTAAATGGTGATTTTCACCAAAATCCTTCACAGTTAGCTACCGTGGATAAATCTTTGTTTCAGAGAGCACGAGGGATCTGTGACAGTAAACACCAGGCTGCCGAGCAACAACACGTCTAGCAAGTTTTGCTTGACAACAAGCTTCGGGTCCCGCGCCTACGTCACAGAGAACGAGTGAAGCCGGCCACAGTCGAGCGTGTACCTGCTGTACTGCCATATGTTAGAGGAGTCACTGACAAGAAGCGCGCTTCCATCAAAACATACTTCAAGCCGCCGAAGAAGATTGGTCAGTGTTTACCATCAGTCAAGTGTAACGTCCCTCTGCAAGATGCAGGAGTGTACAAGCTTGATTGTGAATGTGGTCTCTCCTACATAGGACAAACTAAAAGATCAATTAAAACCCGCGTTAAAGAACATATAGCTGATGTGAAGAATCGACGATCCGGGAAGTCTGCAGTCTGTGAACACGTACAGGATCGCCCCCGTCACTACATCAGATTTGATAAACCACAAATCCTCGCTAAAGAACACCGATTCCTTCCAAGGATGATTCGCGAGGCTATTGAAATCAAAAAACATCCTAATTTCAATAGAGAAGATGGCTGGGTGCTACCATCTGCTTGGGATCCTATAATAAATAAAATTAAATCCCAACCCAAGCATACAACTGCAAGACTTCATGATACCATAAGTTCATACTGTGTAGATCGGAACAAAAGTTAAATTTTAATCTATGGTAACCGCGGTTAACTATGACATCTGGACGTTGAACATCTCAGTCCTTCCCGTGACCATGGGTGCTGTAAAGCTCTCGAAACATCGGGTATTTAAAAAGTTAAATATACGCGATAAATTCCGTAAAAACTAGTATTATTTCAATGTGTAGTGTTCGCGTAAATATAAGAAATCATTAAATAAGTTCGTTTTTAATTCTATTATATAAAAAGCACCACCATCACCTAGCAAATATAAGTAATGCATTTCGTAATCATAATTAACATAGTTTTATATAAATTGGTCAATAAAATCTTTAGAGGCGTAAGCGTTAATATATGACTCATTTCTCGTGAGTCACGGATATCGAGAAAAAGTCAACAGCTATGACTCCAGTCCGCATCTCGATTTTTACTCTCGCATTCGACAAAAACACTAACGAATAATTATAGTTTACGGTTTTGCATTCTTCATTTTTAAATTGGTCATTAAATCAATTTTATGTAGGCTATAATAATTTCTGTGCAATATTTCTCGAAAGTAAATTATTGGGGGACAGCTGTTTAGACGAAACATTATATAATGATATGATATAATATACTTAACTATTTAGCTTTGATTGTATATTTTTACGTGGAGGAGCCACGCTGCATCTACGCTGTTCTACCATATTGGTCCATAAACTAGCTATACATGGTGCAATACGATTGAGTCCGCCCGACTGGGTTCAAAATAATGCTGCTGTTTCGTATAGCGAGTGTAAAGGACCAGATATCCTTTTTACTGGTAACGAGGTATTTCATCTTAGTTCTCAGGTGTAACAACGCATCTGGATTTCGACTCATAATTGATGATAGATGTAGATGTGTATGGGTCATAGCGTCCTGTGTGTTATACTTATATGTAATGCTCTGCGCCACCGATAAGTGCTCGTTTGTCACAATAGCTCAAAAATTATTTCTGGATATAGACAATGCAAAGAAAAGGGCTTTGTACCTTGTCGCTTTTTAACTGTTAAGCCTTTTTTGTTCCATAATTTGGTCCACATCATAAATATAAATTATCTAAATTTCTATAAAATTAACTGAATATCACGAAAAATATTAACAACAATGTTTAATACAATTTTGATCCGGAAAGGTTGTATATAGCTAGTTTTTTAAGTACTATCTAGTATCTACCCAATGTTCTTATGTATTGTCATACGTAACGTTATACGGCTTCATTGTGATTATTCTCCTCATCTTCTTCCATTGTTTGTAACCTGCAAAGTATTTCCATGCTCCTTATTTTAATTTTCACCTTCTGCTATTTTCGTTTCATTACCTTTCGAAGATTCAAAGAATTGAGCATTAATACAGTTCTTCATATTCTCATATTCGATATAGGCTTGAGGGAATCAGTTTCCCTTGAGCTAAAATGTTCGTTATCTTCTACTGCAATACATATCACATCGAACATTTACATATTTCGGATTCTTTAATATGAGTAGAAATATCATACGACATACATCCCACAGTTGAGCCTTAGTCTCTCCTGAGGAGGTTTTGGAGTCGGAAAAAAAATTGATATAAAAAGTCTCAGACGTGCAAACTTCCAAACGATGCTTACATTCAACTTCGGACACGGGGTGAAATAGCACTTACATTTGCTAACATTACATTGGTGTCGGTAGCAATTGAACTCGTTGATCGGACGGTTTGAACGCGTTCTATGAAATGTGGTTGTTTCCAAAGCCACTACAGAATTTCTTTAACAATCTCGTGGAATTATAAATAACGTTTTACAGAAGGCCGAAACGAGACGAATCTAGTCGCATTTCATTCATGAGCAACAACAGCAATCCGTACGCAATGTTTCTTCAGAGAATGAGATCATTCGAATGCGATAATGAACCCAAGCCGGTGTCATCGCTACGACTGCCTTCTTCCTTTGAGTCGACAAAGAGTGAATTATACAACACGAAAAGGACCAGCGAACAGTCAGTAAAATTTGCAAGTGACTTTTAACTTAATTCTTCAAAAACTAGCATAAAAAGTTCATCAATAAATTTCACCCCATTACCATTAGCACCCACAGCTTATCAATAGTTCACTCGTAGACAGAGAAACCTATAGACTAATGATCGGCGTGGCCTCGAGTGAGAAAGAACGATAACGAATTTTTAGGTTATAGAATAATCTTTATGACTTTTAAACACATTTAGATAAAAATTTTAATTGTTCTAAGAACTGAACTGAACAAGATTCACCAATCTTAAGCTCACAAAACACTTATTTTCTCACTTAAACCAACTTGTAAACTCCTTAAATCGCTACGCTGTCAAAGTTGTTTAGCAAACTGTAGAGTTTGCTAAACAAAAAAACCGGCACGGAGAAAGGGACAAACAATCACAACGCTCTATCTCATTTCTATGCAAGACGTATGCATAAATCTATCTTTTTCGTGTGCGAATGCGAAAGAAGGCGTCAATTTGTCTATAGGTTTCTCTGTCTACGAGTTCACTGTTGACCATAGACCTCTCTCATAGATTATCACATACGGGTTGGCTGTAGTTGTCACACTTCCCGGAGCGAGTTAGCAACCGCGGTTATTTTTTATCATTTTGTTGTTTCCAGGAAATACTGCTTCCCTTGTAGTGTTTCACTTTCCTCCGTCGCCCTGCATGTTGTGGTAATGGAGTAGGTATATTTAGTGATATCATAAATTTACGCAAACCGCAAAAAAAGAAAAACGAAAAAAAATTAAGGAAAAAAATAAATTCTCATTTTATTTTATAATTTTTTTTTTTTTTTTATAATATAATAAATAATATAAAAATATAAAATAAAATAAAAAAAAAAAAAAAAAAAAAAAAAAAAAAAAAAAAAGGGCGCGAGAAAAGAAAAATTTATCAATTCCTTTTAAGGAAAAAAAAAAAAAAAAAAAAAAAAAAAAAAAAAAAAAAAAAAAAAACAAAAAACCCACCCCCCAAGCCCCCCAATATATTACAAAAAAGGGAGCCAATAAATAATTAATCTTTTTTATTTAAAATAAAATTATAAAAAAAAATTATTTTTTTATTATAACATTTTTTATAAAAAAAAAAAACCCACCCAACAAAACAGAATACTACATTTAGTGGTAGTAGTATTAGTAACCAATTACACGAACCTGTACTTGAAACTCGTATGGTACTCGTATATTCTGTCTGTTTTTATTTGTACATAAGTTTATAGTTTTTCTTTTATATACTAAGTCTCTCTGAGAATATAAGAGCATGTAAGGTGTTCTATTTTTAAAATAATCTAATGACCCCATATGAATACACTATTAATCATGTCTACGCATAGCAATGTAAATAACGTTCCTCGGTAAACCAGGTACGAACATAAACCAGTTTCCAACAGGTTCAATTACTTGCGCTAGGCTACAGCAGTAATCTCAATTTCGATATCGAACGAGAGGAAAATACTTTAATTCTTATAATTATGGATAAGATGTAGAAGTGATCTTTCGCGTCAGCAGTAAAGATTAACATAAGTAAAATCGCTACTTCGTTGCTAATAAAAATATTTCTATTGTTGTTTGTGATTTAATGATTTTACTTCGTAATCACAGCCGGACATTGTCCTGTCGATATACGGTGTTCGCCTCAAGCACGTTTTAGGCAGAGTGAACTTCGTGTAAGAAATTGTAAAATTCTCTTTATACGCCACTTCACCCTAAATCAACTAATCAGTTATCATTAGGTCTTGATAGTTGATGTCTCGTTAGTGATTTAGGTGCGCTTGCACGGCCTTGTACGGCCTACAAATAATATTGATCTAGGTCTGTAATGTGCAAACTGTGCTTAAGAAAGCAATACTGCCTACCATGTCAAGTATCGGTCAAGAAGTCAATATCAATTCAATCTCTACACTCATAAGGTGCCGTGGATCTGTGGTAGCTCAGGAGATGAGCGCTCGCTGTAAATTTCACAGTACGCGAGCAACCCGGATTCGATGCCCGCCGGCTCCAATGAAAAAGATAATTGCAATTTTAAGTGCTGCAACTATCGTGATAACACCTGCATATCTGAGAAATAAGAAAAAAAATATTTCGAAGACATGAATTTTGCCAACACGCATTGGTGCATCGCGGCGGACATTTCCTTGCCATGAAAACCCTCTTTGAAATGAGATGAGCCTTTACCCATCATTAGGACGTAAATAGGCTGTAACTTTTAAATTTAACTTTTAAGGTTATGCAGCGTATAATTTTAATTACATTAAGCGAACATCTAATAGCAAATCTAATGACGCCTCGTCATCGAAGGATATAACAGCAACCGCTGAATTTAATCAAAAATTAAAGAAAATATGTGCCCAGCTACGGGACGTATACGAAATGTATAGAGGGTGGGCCATCGGCTAGTTTCTTATTAAAAATGCTATAAAAATAAGTTTTAAAGTTTGTTTTTTTATTGAAAAGAGTAAACCTTTCAATTGGTTATGTAATATAATCTCATTTAAATGGCTGCTACGGCTGGCTTGGCTCTCAAACACAATTTTGCAACAAAGACGGCTTGTGTGGCACGTAGCGCCATCCTGATGGAACCAGGTCTCGCTCAAGTCCAATTCGTCAATTTCTTGCCACAAAATATCTGTTATCATGCTTCTGTAGCGCTGTCCGTTAACCTTCACGTAGTTGCCAATCTTCAAATACAATTGGGCCAATAATGCCGGCACTCCAAAAACCACACGGCTCAAACAGTTACACGTTGAAGATGGAGTAGTTTCTCTACGACTAAAAGAGAGTTTTCCGAGCCCCAAATATGACTTGGACCTTGTAAGGGAATAATCCGAGGTCTTTATGTAGAATTCATCAGGCTAGTGCGGCTAATGTTCAGTTGCTCAAATCTGTGGCGCGTTGAAGTTCTCGGGTTTTGGCGCACACTTTCTGTAACAGCAGCAATATGCTCTGCTGAGCACACAGAACGAAGACGAGGATATGTTGCCAATCTCACGAACTTTCTTCACAAACTTGAGTATAGCTCTCCCGGTTGATGCATTATTTCTACCGAAATTTGTTTTCAGAATTCGCACTGTTTCGGCGACATAGCACTGACTTTTGAAATAAGTTTCAGTATTTTCAATGTTTTTCAAGAGTAAATGAATTCATTTTGTACCGCGGAGATATGATACTGTGTTTCTGTCAATTTGTTGAGCGGGAATGAGCCGTCAGTGTAAAAATAACTAGGGCCGATGCAGATGCAAAGGTAAAACCTGCTAGCATCATAAACGGAGCGGAGTAAGAGTCTTAAAGTTATAACTATCTTTATTTCAACAAAAGATTCAATCAAATCGTATGACATTGCGCAGATGTAAATTAGCGATTTTATTACTTAAATAATAAAAGAAAAAAATTATATTTAGATTTTTATTGTTTTTTTTTTGAGTTACAAATATTTCCGAAAAATTATGTGAATTGGCCTACGGGTAACGGAGGAGATAGATTTCAAAGAATCGTTTTCTTGTGCCATGGGAACTCCGCTTGCTTCGCTCGCTCCGCTCCAATAAGTAGTTTTTTTTATAGAAGAGGGGGCAAACGAGCATGCAGCTCACCTGATGTTAAGTGACTACCGCCGCCCATGATCAACCGGAACACCAGGGGACTTGCAGGTGCGTTGCCGGCCCTTTAGAAAGGAGTAAGCTCTTTTCTTGAAGGTCCCCAGGTCGTATCGGTCCAGAAAAATCGCCAGTGGTAAACTATTCCACAAAGAGGTTGTACGCGGAAGAAAACTCCTCTTGAAACGTACAGTGGTGGACCGCCAAGCATTCAGATGGTGTGAATAGTATCGGGATGTTTGCCGCGGAGTGCGTTCACGAAATTTGGCGCCTGGGATTAATCCGAACAATTCCTCAGAGCACTCTCTCAGTTTAAAAAGAAACTAGCAGATGTCCCACCCCTTAGGATGTATATTCACTTTTAGCTATTTTAAACCAAGGTAGCAAAATTGTTTTCAATCCTAGTGAAAAAACGTCAACAAAATAAAGTCAGCTATTAACTGTTTCGGCACCGGAGATCCGTTACATGTGGTTTTGTGTAGGTACGAGTACTAGATACTACTAGAAAGACCGACTATTCGAAACTAGCGATTGATATCAACAAAATCCACAACACTGAATCTTAGCATAGTTTCTTAACATGGTAAAAACTATCTCATTCAATCCACTACATATTATAAAACTACACATTTTTTAATTCCTATTTGTGTTTCTCGCAGGTCTGATTTAGGTGTACATGACACATTGCTGTTGGATTTGGTGCGATTGAAAAGCTGTGACATAAGAGAATCTCAAGACAAGACACTAGAACTACCAAAGGACCATGATAATGAAATCGAAGAGTTAGATGCATTATATTTATTAGATTATAATGTATTTTACAATAATTACTTGTACATTCCTTAGTTTACTCAAATGAAAAAAAGGCAAAACCATAGTCCAATACTAGCTACTGAAGTCGGTGCGAAAGGTAAGGCACAGTGTATCAAAGAATTAAAACCCCGAATTCAAAATCTTTTACTTCTGAAGTCTTAGAAATGTGTGGAAATTATTTATTTTACGTGGTAGAGCTACGCTGCAGTTATATTAGTAGTACAGTTGTAGCACGAATGGGTCGGCTCGAACGGGGTAAGACCACGCTCTCACAGAATACCAGGGTAAAATAGTAGCTTAGTGCTGCTGTGTTTCATATGCTGAGTTGAACCGGAGACCCCTTTTACTGGAAACGAGGCATTCAACAATCCTCACGGGTGACAACGCATATGCATTTTGATTCGTAATCGAGGATAGATGTGGATGTCTATGGGCCACTGCAACCACTTACCATCAGGTGGACTGTGTGCTCGTTTGTCACCCTATCCTATAAAAAGTTTTAGAATTGAGATTTAATTTTTCATTAAAGTTTAATAATTTTAACAGTTTCCTTGTCCGTGATATGGATACAATAGTTAAACAATCAACGTGTTCATATATCCATGGGACAGGGATTAAGGAATATCACAAGTTTAATGTAACGACAAGAATGTCGGCTAAATTACATAAGAATCGTTCGGAATAGTTCCAGCCGCCATATTTCACCAACGCACATTGCGACAAAAAAAAAACAAATTATCATCTACACCACCTGGAGGCTTGGCGGTCCACTACAGTGCGATACTTGGAGTTTTCTTCTTCGCACGATTTCTTTGTGGAATCGTTTAACACTGGCGATTTTTACGGACCGATACGACTTAGGGACCTTTAAGAAACGAGCTTACTTTTTAAAATGCCGGCAAAGCACCTGCAATTGTATACGTGCCGTCTGCGTGAGCTTCTTTTGCCCAGCTGGTTTCAGGCCTCGGGGTGTCCCCGATTACCCGGGTTCTCCTCGCGGCCCATTACTGTGGACCGGTAGTGAGAGCCGTTATCGACATTGTAACTTTTGCGGCATTTATCTTAAATTGGTTAGTTATCTAATTTGTCAATGTTGGTCTTTCAATGACATTGAGGGTTAAGACTCGACTCTCTAATTTATGTTTTTTTGTATAGGAGAGGGGGTAAACGAGCATACGGCTTACCTGATGTTAAGTGATTACCGCCGCCCATGAACAGCTGCAACACCAGGGGGATTGCAAATGCGTTGCCGGCCTTTTAAAAAGGAAGGCTCTTTTCTTGAAGGTCTCTAAGTCGTATTGGTCCGGAAAAATCTCTGGTGGTAATTGATTCCTCAAGGAAGTTGTGCGAGGAAGAAAAATTCTTTTAAATCGCTTAGTGGTGGACCGCCAGTCATCCAGATGGTATAGATGGTGTCGCGAGTTTTGTCGCGATGTGCGATGGTGAAACTGTGCGGCTGGAATTAGTTAGAACAATTCCTCAGAGCCCTCCCCGCGGTAGATGCGATAAAATACGCAAAGAAATGTTCTTTTTAGCGGTAAACGCGCAAACTTATATGTTCTGGGGATTAAACTGGACTAGATTTAGTCGCCCCCAGTCCGAGATTTTGTTCAATAAAAATCTCGACTTCAGACATAAGTTCGTCCCGGTACTCGGCGACGTTTTTCCGAGAAATATTGGCACGGCCGGTGTATAAAGCATCACCAGTGCTGTCATCTGCAAGCAATGCAATGAATACTACCGATTTGCAACATGTCATTGATATGCAGAAGAAACAGCGTTGGCGATAGCACGCAGCTGTGTGGAACACTAGCGTTATTGGGCTTGTAATCGGAGCATGCACCGTTTACTACGACCTTGATGCTCCGATCTGCAAGAAAGCTGGTGATCCAATCGCACAATTTCTCGGGAAGCCCATAGGAAGGGAGCTTCGAAAGAAGCGCTTTGTGCCAAACCCGATCGAAGGCCTTCGCTAATCGCTATGTCCAAACTGACGGCCAACGCCTCCCTCTTGGACTCTACTGCCTTCGCCCATTTATGAGTTAGGTAACCTAGAAGATCACCAGCCGGGCGACCGCGACGGAAACCGTACTGGCAGTCACTAATCAGCTGGTGATCCTCAAAATACCGCATGAGCTTGCTGTTAATAATAGATTCCATTATTTTAGAGAACAAGGAGGTGATGGCGGTAGGCCTATAGTTGTACGGATCAGAGCGGTTACCTTTTTTAGGATCGGGTGCACGAAGGCTGTCTTCGAAGCGTGGTCCTTCACCGGTCGAGCCGACCCATTCGTTCTACAACCATAACCTACTACTTATACTACAACCTATAGCTGCTGCGGGGCTCTACCACGTAAAAATATTTCCACCGTTCCACCGTTTCCATTGTTATTACGGGTGGGGGGGGGGGTAGGCTGGCTGCCTACCCTTTTCCCTTATGGTCCACCCATCTTCTTAGATCTCAACTGCTCTTGGGCGAATCTGGGAGGCCCTCTTCGGATCTTCCGGGAGTAGGCCCGGCAGCGTGATCCCCTATTTCCTCGCATTCCTCTTCAGGACTGAGCAGCGGTGATCGTTTGCTGTATGAGCTCTTCGTCTCTACCTCTAGGGACTCCGGCACAGCGAACGCACTTCACTGGCCTGAAGAAATTTTTCTGATGCATGTCCGCAAGTCTGGCAGCGGTGGCATTTACCCGGACCCGCTCGTCCTTGCCAGGCTTTGATGACGACCCCTCCCATACAGAGGAGTTTCTTAATACTTGATGGGGAATCCCTTCAAGTATTAAGAAACTCCTAGTACTTGATGGGGAATCCCTTAGCCCTGATAGCTTCCTCTATTGCGGTTGAGTCCGTGTCCACTGCCAGTCCCCGGATGCTCACTCCGAGGAGGGGAGAAGCCCACAAAGGGCTTCTCCTCCTCTGGATTATAACAGTACCAGGACATGCCTGGTATTTTGTCGGTGATTTCTATGAAATACCGCTGGATTGACGGAATTCTTCTCTGGACTGTGGGAGGTGAATCGTACCCCCTTCGCAAACAGACAAGCGTTAGGAGGATAGCCTAACTTTTGTTAAGCACCTCGAAATTTTCGGGAGGTACCAGCGATTATGGGGGGATAGCGTGCTTTCTCAGCTACCGTCGTTGGGTTTGGTACCTCAGCCGACTTGGACCTTGGTACTGCTGGTACAGCTGCCAGTTGGGTGGATAGCGTGCTTTCTCAGCTACCGTCGTTGGGTTTGGTACCTCAGCCGACTTGGACCTTGGTACTGCTGGTACAGCTGCCAGTTGGGCGTAACTTGTAGAAGGCCTTTAACCATCGTCCGATAGTAGACCTGATGGGTTGGTTATTGGCGCGGACGATGATCGTCCGGCGAATGGCGCTGACGTCGCATAAGTGATGGAATCTCACCCGTAGGATTCTTCCCCCCCTGTTCTAGCTCGGCCGTATCCATGTTGCTCCGACCATCGGAATCATCTAAATGCCTAAGGTCTGCCTAGGGGCCAGTGACCTCGACGCTTCACAGAGCGGACTCAACGTTCAACGGAATATGTCGTACCGGCAATTGTATGAGACCACTGCTAATCCCATACAACGTACACCTATAGGAGATCCTTACTTGCAATTCCGTTCGTGTTGCAATTGTTCACGGGCGGCCCTTATCACTGGGTGAGCCGCATGTTCGTTTCCCTCCTCTTCTAAAAACAAAAGATAAGAAACTGCATTTCTTATTTTTTCTTTAAATTTACATGAAATCACACCTGCAGTATGAGCTATGTAATAAAAACAAAGAAATAAATATTTTTAACCTGTAAGACCATTTCCGGGAAGAAAAATCGGAAAAAAGAGAAATCAGTCAACACACACATAAAACATACGTGTTAAATATCGAACCTAGAAATTTTTTGAACTCTTTTAAATACCCTGCTAAACATCTATTGTGTAACTTCAATTAAGTTTAATTACATTAAACACTTAAAAGTAGTTATTAGTAGAAATAAGTACATAACTTTCCCTCTCGATTCAATTACGCGTTACAACTTTCTCACACTTTTTACAACAATAGATAGTATAGATTATACAGAGTAAATATGAGAATCACAGTATGTTGCAACCATCGGTTGCGTAAATGTCTGTGTCATGAATCATACTACTTATAACATTTCAGACTCATAATATGTGTTTTGTAGGCTCCGCCCTTCACAATGTTACCTTGTTTTTATCCTCGTGCCCTTTAACACTATAAAATTGTGCCAAATGTAAGGTTTTGTTTGTGAATTGAAAACTTCTTTAAAATTGTTGTGATTTTAAACTCGTTGGAACAAAAAAGTGACACTAAAATAAGACAAACATATAAATCTAGAGAATTAAGCCTCCGAGAGAATGAAATAGAATACGTTATACTGTTACAGTTTTTCCTATTATCTCGGCCTCAATAAATTAATAATAAAAATTTATAAATAATAAACTTTTATTAATAAAACATGAATAGGTTTTCACTTTTACGGCATATGAATTCCACACATGTTTTTTTTTTAAATTTTGATTCCACCTTAATATTTCTAGAAAGATTCTAAAATGATTAGATTGTACTGTATGACAGATTAAATAAAAATTCCAAAGTCATAATAAATATATAAATATTTCTTATACTTACGCCTATAATTTATTCTGTGCTTACGCTACGCTATGTCAGACGTTGATGATCAACTATTTTGAAGATAGCCTTCGTTAACTACGACATCAAGAACAGTAAAGCACCCGAAACCTCGTGAATCAAAAAGTTAAAATTAAACACGATAAAATCCGTAAATAAGTTTCATTTAATTCTAATAATGTGTAAAAATATTTGGTATATTAAACATTTCGGTAGGGCAGTGCAAAGTATTAGGTTTTTTGTCAAGAAATTCTCAGAAGTAGCCCGCAGTCAGAAAATTGACAGTGTTTCACCTTCATGCCTCGCAAATAAACAGTAATGGTTTCATGCCTAATTTTAATATTATTCTCGTCCATTTCAAAGACTATAAACGCTCT